CATGGAAATAAATCCACTTCTGATGATCCTAAAAAATTAGTTTATGTTTGTTTTTGGAACTCCTCCCTCAGTATCACTTTGTATCTGTGTTTTTGCTGCTAGCCTGCAAGCTCCCTGGAGGTGGACATTGACATCTGGGTATGTCCCCGACATCTTGGGCACATTTTAAATAAATGAATAAGTAAACAATGTTTTTGTTAATTTATTCCTTTATTTAAACATTAAAATATTCTGTTCCTATATAATTTTGCTGTTACTACTGACCATTCTCTACCATTCATCCACTACAAACTCCCCAAAGTAACATCAATGATAATTATAATAGCAATGGAATGAAACCAGAAAGTAAAATCATAAGAGAATAACTAACCAGGGTTTACACCCATTTCCACTCATTTTATCCATCTCCTTGAAAAGGTGCACAAATCCTTTTCATCCACTAGAGTAAAGGATGGCATTAGTTTATTGAATAAGCAGTTGAATGTTACAGATTTAAAAAAAAAAAAGAGGGTTTATTAAATAGTATTTGAAACTGGCTTAAAAAAATCACCTATTTCCTAGGAGAACTTGATTGCCCTCTAGTGGGGTGAAAGTTAATGTGAACTTCAAGATTTTCCAATTCAGAAAACCAGGAAAGAAAACCAGCCTCAGTTCTGGAAACATCTGGGGCATCAGCTAATTTGGTATTTGCTTCTTATCTGGCAAATATCTTGTATTTTTCATATAAGGTCACAGGTCCTCTGACAACAGAATAGTGTGCGTTTCTCCAAGGCCAAATAGGAAATTGGTGCGAGCTGGAATTAGATTTCTGCAGCTTGGGAGTGGCCTCACCCGGAGTGGGCAGTCACCTGCTCAGGGCCCGCATCAACTCCTGGGGTGGGATGGGGCATATAGTCAGTCCTACTCAGTTGGAGTAAATAACAGTGGTGATTGACAAATCAGGAATTTTCCTAAAGATGGTCTGGATTCATTAATGACAAAAATGCTCAACTACATATATGCTTGATTCATATCCAGTTTCATTTTAAACTGTACAAATTTAACTTGAAATTCTGGATGATAGTAACTACTAGATATTGAGAGAATTAAGTAACTATTTTGATCCTAAATTGTAGGGTGGAAGATTATCATGTTGTGTGAATCGGATTTGTGGCAAACTGAAAGGACTGATAGGCACTCCTGAATCTGAGTAAAATGTAGCCTCTTGCAGCCTTTTTTCTTTTTTCTTTTTAAACCATAGAGAAAAGGCTATTTGATGAAAGGCATACCGGGCCAAATGACTGAATGCTTATTGTATAATCTCTCTATTAATAATTTAAAAAATCCCCAAAGTAAATGTGTTTTTAGTGCAACAAATAAAATCCCGCTAAAAATGTAAATGCCTAAGAGCAGAGGCAATCATTCTAACAATAAAAATACTCCTTTCCCCCTTCCTTAGGATAGAATAGTTTACTAAAACCTGTAGGTCACTTCACAAAACCATTGCAAATTGTGACTGAACAAAATTCCAGACTTTAATGCTAAAAACCACTCCATCTTCGTTATTTATTATTTTAAAATATGCTTTCAGAGAATTTTAACCTGTGTAGACAAACACCACCAGGTATATTAATTCATACCATCATACTAGCTATTTGTATTGGCTACACTGGCTCACATAATGCTTACGGCAGGCTCAGCTTACTCAGCTGGAATTAACCATATATAGAACTGATTGATAAGCTACTGCTATTCCTCTTTCAGCTTGATCTTGCAATCCTGACCAAATTCTCATTTTTCCGCTTCCGGCTATTTATATATCCATTTAGAAGGCACCCACTTCATTAGAGAAGATAATGGGGAATACTATATGCACCTAGTACAATCATGCTGAATAATTGTTTAATAAATCAGGAAAAAGCACCCACCCTGGTGATTAATTGATTATGCTTTGCAACTGAAATGATTTCAAAATCCATTATTTTAGCATTGCAGGGGTTTTACTTCTCATGATTTGCAAATTCAGCTTACTCATGACAGAAAGGACCCTTGCAATTGTCATATTTTGGGTGGGATTTTTATTAATGGGATGGTGTCTACCATTTCACGATCCAGGTTTCTGTGTAGAATTGAGACTGTCAATAATCAGCAATTGGAAGAACAATTCAAAAAAAAAAAAAAAGAAACGGTTACATTTTGTGCATCACCTGTTATTTATATATTGATTGATAGACATGACCTTATGGAATATGCAGTGAAGATCATAACATCTCAATTATATATGTATAATTTTACCCATTGCAGTCACAAACAATTATCTGCGGAGAATTTTCCAGCAATCTTTGGCACACAAACCCTACCCTTAGTAAGCACCTGCACATAATATGAGACCCACAAGAACATATGTAATCCCGACAGGAATTGAAAATACATTCCGCTTTATAATGTAAAATGAACAGGACGAAAAAATTCTTGGTTTTGAAGGCTGGAGGGTAAGGAACGGAGGAGTAGGAGGAAGAAAAGTGAGTGCAACAAGGGTTAATGCTCCTTAATGAAATTCAATCATTCAAGCCTTTTGGATCGATAAGGCCACTGAGTCACGAAGTAATAAGAATAATTAGAAAGATTTGACATAATACTGATAACGATGAGTCCGCGGCCGCCCTCCTGCAGCGGAAACCTCTCGGTGGTGCGGTGGGGTGGGGTGGGGTGGGGTGGGGTGGGGGTGGGTGGGTGCAGAACGCAGAACGCAGAGCGAGATCGCCCCGCGTCCCTCGGCCTGGGGACCTCTCTGGACTTGCGGGTGAATCGCGAACTGCGGGACGCGGGGGTAGCTCAGGACACTGCGCAGAAGCGCGTCTCCCCGGCTGCCCCGCGGGGGCGGGCGCCCAGCTCGGGGGAGGGGAGCGCACAGGGCGCGGCGCGGGGCTCTGCAGGGCTGGCAGCGCTCCACGCGCCGGCTCGCCAAGCGCGCCCCCCAGCGGCCAGCGGCGGACCGGGCCGGGCCGGGCCGCAGCCGGGAGGGGAGGGGTGGGGAGGGGTGGGGCGGCGCCGCGCACGCTCGGCCGCGGTCTCCCCCAAAGGGCGCGCGTCCCGGGAATCGAGGGAGAACCCCGCGTGGGGCCCGGGGTTTCAGCTGGGGGGAGAAAGTGGCCTGAACTCCGCGGGCCGTGGAGGGCGAGAGGAGAAAACCCGCGGCCGCACCTCCGGGAAGGGGTCACCTCTGCGGTCCTGCGGCCGGCTGGGGCGGGGCGGCGCCTTTGTATGGCCGGGCGGGGCCCGGGACCCCGAGCATCACCCGGTGTGCGTGCGCGCAGAGCGCCGGGCGTCTGGGGGTTCCGGGCTGCGGGGCTGAAAAAGGGGGCCCTGGGTCTGCGGACCGCGTAACTGCCCCTCCCCGGCGGGGTTCGACGCCCAGCCTCGGAGCCCGAGGCCTCCCCAGCGCGGCAGAAAGGGTGGGGCAGGGCGGAGCTGCGCGGGGCGCGTCCCGCAGCGGTCCCCGGGGAGGGGCCCCTCCCTGCCCGTGCACCCCAGCGGCCCCTGGAACCGTGGGGGCGCTTAGAGGCGCACGACCCGCCGGGGAATCTCTGTCTCAACCGTTTCTCCTATATGTAGTATTTAGGTTGAGCCTGTAGAAATTGTGGTTATTTGGTCCCGTTTGACCTAGAAGACGGGTATTTCACGTGGCTCGACCGCAGAAGTTGGCCTCTTTTGTAACTGTGTTGTTGTATCTACACCTACCCAGGTTCCCGAAGCTTTTACCCCGAACGATCAATGGGCTCAAAGAAGCCTTTCTCCGCGTCAGTGTCTAGTCACCCTCTGTATGCAGTGTGGGTTTTTGAAAAGAAAAAAAAATGTTAACCCACTTTTGGCCTCCTCTCCGTTCAACAGAACAATGAGGCCGGGGTGGGGAAGGCAGGGGCAGTGGTCAGGGCTCGCTGGGAAGCCGAGGCTGGGAGCAGGAGCGACCAGCGCGGGGCGTGGCGCTGCTGCCCCCCCCCCCGCCCCGGGCTGGGCTCCGGGGTGTCGCGCTGCGCTCCCCACCCCGGCCCTGTTTCGGCTGAAGCTGCTGCACCCGGCAGGGGGGAGGAGGGAGGGCGCCGGCGCGGCTCCACACAGGGTGGGGCCGTCCGCATTGTGCGCCCAGCGCTGCAGGTGCCTCCCCCTGGGACCGCTCGTCCTCACACAAAGAAACCCCACCCCAGCCCTGCGAAACCGCTGTCCCTCCACCCCGCCCCGCCGCGCGCTACCCCGCCCCTGCAGCTGCCCACCCGCGCCCTCCTTGCCCTCCCCGACTTCCTCTCCCCTTCCCCTCCCTTTCCCTAAAACAAAGGAGCGTAGCACCCCCACCCCCCGCCCTAACCTCCCCGCACCGCGCCCCAGGACTAGCGGTTTTTCCGACGAGACAATACCATAAAATTTGCCCGGTTCTCCGCCCGCCGCCCCCCTCCCCCCGTCTCCACCCATCTTTCAAACAACCTTAGAAGGGACCGATTTGACTTCGCGTTTTTCTTTTTTCCTTTTCCCCACCTCCCTCCCGTCTTCCCCATTTTCTTTCTTCCTTTCTTTTATTTTTTTAAACAAGAGAATAAATAAAGGATGTTAGGAAGCACTTTCCAAAAATGTCCCTTAACCTCATTTAAGGCAAACAGTAAAGGTAGCTCCCCCACCCCACCCCCCAACGATTGGGCCCTAATTTAAAACATAGAAACAGAACAAATTCTCTACCCACGGGAGGGCAACTTACCTGCTTCTACCTTCCAAAAGAAAATTTTAGTTTTAGATTTCCAGGGACCCCCCCTCTTTGCCCTTCTCAAACCCGCAGAACTGCCTTCTTCCTTCCCGGTTCCTGTTTTTTTTTCTTTTCTTTTCTTTCTTTCTTTTTTTTTTTTTTTTTTTTTTTTTTACCATTAACGTCTTTTTCTCTATAAAATATTTCCGAATGCCTTCAAAGCTCTAAGAGGGAAGGTGAGAGGTGGGCTCCAGGTCGAGCCGAGGGAGAACGAGGCGCGATGCCTTACCCATTGCTGTTTTAGCCATTGTAGGGATGTGCAGATGCTGAGCGGCGGCGAAGGCGAAGGGTCCAGCTACAGCAGCGGAGAGAGCGAGAGAGAAGACTGAATAAGGCACTGAGTCTGCAGAGTGGGACCGTGCGAGAGAAAGAGCAAGAGGCAGGAGCCCATGAATAATTATCACTCAGAAGCTCAAGCAGATTGGCTCCCAAGGTCCCCTGACATGACTCCCGCAGAGTCAGAATCTCCAAGCATTAAATATTGATCGGCCAATGGTGCTGGAGTACAAAGTACCAGAATGCAGTTTGAAATGGAAATCCGTCCTTCCCTGGCAGCTCCCCCCCGTTTTGGGGGCCTGATAGTACAGTCCAAGTAGAGTGGAGCCTTAGCCCAGAAGCCTCCTAGGAGCTAAGAACTGGGCTGTGCCTACCTGGGAGCCAGGAGGATTGACTTTGTTCACACATGTTTTATCGCACAAACAGAAAAAGGGAAAGGGGTTTGGAGCTTTGAGAAGTCTTCACAACATGCTGACTATTGGAAACATTGTGGTTTTACTTGTTCATGGTTTCTCTTTCACCCTTGGCCCTGGTTTGGTAGTTTGTGGTATTTCAGCTTGACCCCATGCCTGGCTATTGGTGGCAGATTGAAACAGAATTGCATTGTTGTCCTTTGTCTCTCAGCACAGCTTGGTCTCTTGAAGGTCTCTCAGTAGAGTGAGGCCTGGTGTTTTCTACTCTTGGCACAGAAGGAAGAGGCTGTTTGGGCTGCTTAGGAATAGGTACATATAGTTATGGTCTACTTGGGGACCTTATGGAGGAGGACCTGTGTCTGTGTCTTGTCCACCGGCTTACAGGGCAGAACCAGGTTGGCTGACTGGCTTGAGTGTTGGAGGAACCAGAATGCCATTCTGCCTTGGAGATGTAGGATAATATGGATTGAAACCCCAGTGACTCTTGCAGGTCTCAAAAGAGAAACCTTTATACTGAAAGCCTATCGGAGATGAAAGGTGTGATCTGGAGCATGGTTTTTCAGAGATCCAGAGACTTCATTGATATAGGCCAAAGAAAGATGTGTTTGGGATTCAGGCTGAGCAATGTGGTGTGTGAGGAACTCCCAGGTGCAAAATGTGCCCTTTCGGTAGAGAGAAGATATTCACTAATTCATTCCTATTGACTTAATGAACATCATTCATTAATTCATTCTTTCTTAGAAGACTCGCATAAATATTAATTGAGCATTTATCACATGCCAAGGTTTGAGGACAGAACAGTGAAAAAGATTTTAGACCTTGTTCTCATGGAGATTTTAATCTCTGTTGAATTAACACAGTGATTAAATTAACTCAGTGATTTCACTGAGTCTTCCTCCATTCTAGATCCATTCAGAAACTGTGGTTTTTGACATTTGAAAAGAGAAAAGGCAAAGGATTGTTAATTCTATTGCATTTGAAAGCCAAAAGAATAGCACATTGTTGAAATCATGAACATATACAGAATCCTGGCAATTTTTAAATTTTATAGAAATGATTGGGATTATTCTAATGAATGAAGTAAATTCTTAGCAGCTTTCTATTAAATCACATTTCAAATTTTTTTTTTAGCCTCATGAATAATAACGCAGTTTTGAACACATAAAAAAACCGTTTGAAAGTAACAGGCACTCTCCTTGGTGCTGAAATAAATTTCTTCACCTCCTGTTAACTTGTAAGACATTTAAACCCCATAGACATCTTGCTGAGTGATGGAAAGTACTGGAACTAGAGCAATTCTGACCTGCTGAATCATAGGAAAAATAAAACATAAAGTGGTGATCAATAAAATTACTTCTCGAACAGGAAGATTAGAAATTATTCCTCTCGTCATTGTACAGGTCTGTGAGTATGACACAGCAATAGAGCAGCATGGAAGTTGCCAGCATCTGGAAATAACCGTTTTCTCCCTTTCTATGGTCATTGTCCACTTTAAATGTGAGAGCTAATTCCTTCTCAGTGGAGTACTTATCAGTCATAAGATGAAGGACCTTCAGCATGTCTGCGTGACTCATATTTTTAGAGTATTCCTCTTCTCCCCACCACACCCTTTCCCCTCAGGCTATGTATCATCTTTACATATTCTTCAGCTTCCTTAGAGAACAAGATCCCTAAGTCATGGCATTAAGGACTTTAACAACTACCACTAGTAGTTGAATAAGATCTTTTGCACTTTTAAATAAACAAAACAAAACAAACACACATTCTACTGTCTAATTTCTAATCCTATGGTGAACATTACTTACTAATGGATAGGAATATGACAAGGAAGTCAGTATATATAGGGGCAAGTGTTAGATGTGTGTCTTTTTTTCTATTTCTGACTTACTGGGCATTAGCCTCCTAACCTCAGCTGTGTGTGATTTTCAAGTAATGCTAAGCAGGGGGGAGGGTAGGTTAGTATGTTTTACTATACAATATAGGGATAGTAGGCTGTCATCAACTGGCTAAGAAAAATTAAATAAATTCAAAGAGCTGACATATAATCAATTCCTGTTCTTTCTTTTAACATAACAATTTCAATCATGGATCTCGGCCTGGGAGGGTAGGGATAATCAGGAACAGGGAATTATTTTATATTTAATAATTTATTCATGAAAGGGAATATAAGGGAAGGGAGAAGAAATGTGTGGGAAATATCAGAAAGGGAGACAGAACATTAAAGACTTCTAACTCTGGGAAATGAACTAGGGGTGGTGGAGGGGGAGGAGGGCGGGGGGTGGGGGTGAATGGGTGACGGGCACTGAGGGGGACACTTGATGGGATGAGCACTGGGTGTTATTCTGTATGTTGGTAAATTGGACACCAATAAAAATTAATTTATTAAAAAAATAATTTATTCATTATATGTTCATTTGTTCAGGTATTCATTCACCCGACAAATATTTATTTAGTGAAATTTTGGGCTTCTATATTATGAAATCATCCAACCTTCACCCTAATGTCTAAAAAATACGCAGTGAAAAAGGTAACCCCCACTTCTTCAAGAAAATGCTATTAATTTTGGAGGGCAAATATTATCCTGTGTATCAGCTAGAGCATTTTGGTTACAAAGTATAGAAAAAAACAACCAAACTGGCTCTGATAGTAAAGGATCCTTTTTTCTTTTTGTTGTTTTGTTTTTGTTTTTGTTTTTGATTCATCTAACTACAGAGGTAGAGTAGGGCTAGGACTCTGGAAATAAGAATCAGCTTTTCCTGAAGCAAATGGTTTGGATAAGGATGAGGGGACACCTAAATTAAGAAATAGGTACTAGGTTTGTAAAATCTAAAATAAAGCCAACAGTACCTATCTCCCAGGATTTGGGGTAGACTAAAGGGTTCATGTATAAACTGCCTAAATCAGTATGAATACCTTTTTTAAAATTTTTTTATTTATTTATGATAGTCACAGAGAGAGAGAGAGAGAGAGAGAGAGAGAGAGAGAGAGAGGCAGAGACATAGGCAGAGGGAGAAGCAGGCTCCATGCACCAGGAGCCCGATGTGGGATTCGATCCTGGGTCTCCAGGATCGCGCCCTGGGCCAAAGGCAGGCGCCAAACCGCTGCGCCACCCAGGGATCCCTATGAATACCTTTTTAAAAAATATTTTATTTTATTTATCCATGAGAGACACACAGAGAGAGACAGAGACACAGGCAGAGGGAGAAGCAGGCTTCTTGCAGGGAGCCGGATGAGGGACTCTATCCCAGGACCCTCACACCCTGACACCCTGGGATCACACCCTGAGCCAAATGCAGACACTCCACTACTGAGCCACCCAAGCACCCCTCACTATGGTTACTTAATAACTGTAACTGCTATGTTTATGGTTTCCAACAAATTTAAACTTTTTAAGAGTAGACACTGAGTAGTGTATATCTTTATATCCTTTTTAGTGCTTGGCTTCATGATTCACATGGTTGAAAGTCAACAAATGCTTGTGAAGTAACAACAGCAATAATAAAACATTTGAACATAATTCAAAATGACTGAACCCAGTGAAGTAATAGTGATACTTTCAACCACCTTTCTTTGCTTTGTGCCAAGTTTTGAGGACAGAACAGTGAAAAGGATTTTAGACCTTGTTCTCATGGAGATTTTAATCTTTGTTGATTTAACACTTCTGTGATTTCCCTGAGTTTCCATTCCAGAGCCATTCCAAAACTGTGGTTTTTGACATTTGAAAAAAAGGCAAAGGATTGCTAATTCCATGTGGGGAGCAGTGAATAAGATGTTTACTCTTATTTCTTGATTTATATACTGCCCATTCCCTAAAGGACATAGGTAGATAGGACTCAATCAGTAGAAGACCCTTGCTAACTTTTAAAAATCTTTAACAGCAGTAAGAGGAAGTTGTAGAAGTAAAAAATGTGCTAACAGAGATTTTAATTACTGTGGGTTACAGTGTATTGTGTATTATCTCTGTGAGGCCTGAGGTGTTGATTTCTGCCCAAACTGGAGAGGAACAGTTGCTTTGGAGGATTAGCTGATGTAATCTAATGTAGTCATATGATTTTCTGCTATTAATATTCAAGTGTCTGGGAAAGAATCCTAAAGTAATTATCAAAAGTTAGTAAGATATGAAAAATACTGTTAGAGCTGAATTAATTGTTTTGATCTGACCTCAGTTGATTACAAGGGAAGCTTGTGGAAAAAAAAAGGCCATAGAATTTTTTTTAGGTGGTTGGTAATGCAGTTATAGCTGAAGATATTAGGAATGCATTTAAAATAGTAAGATGAAAAAATGGCTAATTGACTAACATTTTGACTATTTTGCTATATTTAACCTATTATAGATTAATGAAAAAAAGAATCAAACATCCTTTAATAACATTGTCCAATATGTCATGGGTTATTTAAAAGGAAAGTCATTTTGAGGAGGAAAAGATAGTTTTCCTTCTTAATAGTGAAATCGATATTGTTCAGGAATTTTCCAACATGTCAGAGTTGTTTTCTGCAATGGTGAATGAACATACCTTAGTGTTTCTTCTTCGATCAGTTGTTTAAAGATGAAGAATGGTTAGTTAATTATTATCTCCTTTTTTGGTACCTGGGGTTTTCTGAAAGTTCAAATGGGACTTGTACATATTAGTAATTTGTATAATTTACCCGGAAACAAAATG